ACCATACATTCAACAACATGAGTAAACTGCATTTGTTTTCCATCTTTTTCAGAGAATCATAGCTAAAAGTAAAATAATTAATCAGAGAAATTAAGTGAACCAGGCTGGTAAATTGTAACATCCAATTCTTGAATGCTACCTATCTGTTTAAAATATTTATAAGTGACTTAGATTTCGTGCTCCGTTAAGATGGATTGTAACTATCCGAAGAACGGCAACTGAAGAACGATAGGAGATTCTAGAAGCTGAGATGAAAACTAATCACATGTATAAACATCGAAGAAAAGGTGATTAAATGTATTGAGTACAGCAAAATCTGAAGAAATGACTGATGTTAACGTACGAAGTATACTAATCGTCAAATATTGCATACTTTGAAAAAAATGAAAGTGAATTCATGACTGATTCGGGATAATATTTCATGATTTTACACAAACAATAGGGTATTTAAATAAATACAGTATGTACTCGCATATTTCTTCTGCTAGCTTTGTTCTTGAAAGCATTTTAAGTATTCATGTAACTTTCACTTTCCTGAAGACGTTTAGAAGGCGAGCTTCCTAAATTTTAAAATACATTTGGCCACACAGTCATTGTTTCCGTATACTAATTGAGTTTGCTGTGGAATTTGGGTGAATGGGTTCTGACTGATTGAGCATTAAAAGTGCAGAGCTTCAAGAAATGGAAATATCAAATATTCTTATTGGTTCTCAAGAACACTACACGCTGAAAGAGAGACTGAACGTGACGAAGACGATGACAACGATGACGACTTGTAAACTGTGTCAAGACGACACAGACAACTTTGGTTAGCAACTTTACATAATTTAAGGCCAAGACATTAGCAGTGGGAAACAATAACAGCGGGCATGATTCGATGAAGATATCTCATTAGATAGTGAAATATTAATATTATTGTATATTCTTATTGAAATTCAGGTTTCTTTTAAATAAATAGTATTGTGACATTTACCGATAGTTTGTTCACGAATTCTTCCCATTTGATTTGTTCTTACTGTAACTATGTACTTCAGAAATTAAATTATTCGTAAAAATTTCCCCTCTCGATTTTCTTACGATAAATTAGTGCAAAAATGAGGGGGGAAAGCTTGAGCAAATACGGCATAAGTTCTGCTGAGGGAACATTTATTAGTAGCATGCTGATGGTTAGTTCTGGCGTCGTGAAGAAGTTAAAATTCTTTTGTTAACTGTTGTCCTACGCAACATTTACGAAATGAAATAGTTTAAGATAAATACACAAGCATATTGCTTTTATCACTTCCCACGACGAAACTCTTATTTTACCAAGAAAGTAAGTATAATATAACAGATGACTCTATTATCGCACTGCATTTGCAAGCAACGATGCGAATCTACGCATGCGACAAGCAAACTTTCTCTAATCGCATAGATTACATCAGATAGCAAACAAATGACGTTTGTCATACATGAAATCCAAACGGATGCAAAGTTAGTAGTTGAACCAGCTTTAAAAACTTTCCACCCCATTAACTTAAGGTTAAAGATACGATTTACGCTTAATATCAGGAGCTTCTTCGCATGCGTTCTATGTACGTTAGCAAAAAGACATTAAGCTAAAATTTTACGGTGTGTTTATTATCAAATCTATTGCCAAAGACTACACTTTACAGAATTTCAGGGTAGAAAAAAAGGATGAAATTAAGTATTTTATAGTTTTTTTTAGGTTTAATCAAGCTTTATTTCTTGAATTATAAATTAATAGTATGAAATGTTATAAATAAAAGACGATACAGTTTGGCTTCCTCAAAAATCGAAGGATGTAAGAAAACTTTCCTGATGTTCTTTTATTTTCGTACGTTTTCCGAAATATAATTCAAACATTAGTGAATAGATAATGATAAAATAAGACAAAAGAAACTTCTGAAGACGACTTAAAGAATATAATAATATTTATTAATAAAAGGCAAGGTAAGTTCTGTTTAATAAATATTAGAATAATTACGATAAGGTGGGCTCTAATAAAATTCTTTTCAACTTTTTCCTAAAATAAGGAATGGGGGTGTAAAGAAAGTCAAGGAATGGGCATGAAAAGGACATTTTATGAAAGTAAATATATATATTCTGTAATTAGATTAAATAATCAAAAGATTATTAAATGGAAAAACTAACCAATTCTCTTTCTTTTTATTTTTTTCACTTGAATATCGCCGATTTCCAACAAGAAATTGAAAACTTATTCCCAGTATAAATGAAATTTTTATAATAATACTAAGACCTATTGTGGCCTCGCCTGTACTTACGCATCTATAATCTAATCGTGTTTTCATTATTTGATTAAAGCTTAGTCTTTCTCGTTGCTCGTTTAAGTGAAGTAAGTAGAATACTGATTTGAAAACTTCTGTCCAAATGGCAGATATTATTTACACTCTCGTTACTATTTAAAATTATCAAAATATTATTAAAAAATACTGTCTAATTCTGTTGTACTGATAAATAAAATAACTGTAATTTAAAATTAAAAAGCTATATTAAAAATGCAGCACGACTGCCAATAATTCATCGACTTTCTGCGAGGCCATTTTATATATTTCATATTTTTTCATTATGATTTTAAGTTAAGCATTTTATATAAAAGAAAAGATTTAAAAATTTTTAAAAATTAAAATTTATACAAAGTTTAAACTGAATTTCAGTTAAAATAACGATATACGTCTGAATTAATAAATTTATACCGGTATGATTCAACAGTATTTGAAATTACATACATAACAATGTGCATTTTGTTTTATTTCGTTGTAGCATTTCGTGTACACAAATTAACCATTTTTATTTTATTCTACTTTTTCTATATCCTGTTTCAGCACAAAATAAAGGATTGAGGTAAGCAGTAAAGATCATACGGCATCCGATGTTTATAATTTATATTTATAAATGATTATATAATTATAATTTATAATTTATATTTATAAATGATTATATTATTTATAAATGATTTATTTATAAATGATTATAATTTATGAGGAAACCCATTTTATGCTTCTGTCTACTTATTTTGTTCTCATCTTTTCCATTATTCTATGCAAATGTTTACGAGCGAAATTAAATCTTAAGTACTGTCAAACTCACGTCTAAAATATACTTTGTGAAGGTTAAGGACAAGATAGATCACTGAAGAAAAAGGGATGGCTGTGTGAGCTATTTGATCTATCAGTAACTGCCTACTCTCCACTATGATCCCAAAACTAAGTCTGCCATTTTCTTCTTTCCGCGTTCAATTCCTTTATGTAAAACACGTGAGCATTTTCGTTGTGATTCGAAACCTAAAGATGAATGAATTATGTCATAGCCTTTGCGATCTTTGGTTTTTGTTATAGTTGTATCATAAAGAATATATTTCATGTTTGCATCAGAAGTCATACTCTTTTCTAGTATTACTTTAATAAGCCATGATTATATGCATGTTATTAGGGAAGGAATAGTAGTAGAAATTTTAAATATTATAAACGCAAAAATAATTTTCAAATAAAGTTTTTATTAAAAATTGTAACATGTAACTGCAAAGGAAAATTATTGTTTCTATGCATGTAATAAGAATACATAGCAAGTGTATTATTAAGTACAAAGGAGAAAACTTATCGAAGAACATGCGTTAAAAATGCTAATAATAAGCAACAAGAATCAATGCCGGCTAAAAATAATAAGATTCCGTTTAACTTTCGAAACTATAGTTCTGTAAACTAATTGAAGATTATATTTGCTTTTCGAAACTATAAGCTTGCATTCTTAACGCCGATTCTTCCTTGATGCACACTTCTATGTATGTGCAATAAAAATAATCAAATAGGGATTCAGAGATCAAATTGGATAAAATCATCAAAACTTGTATTCAAAATAATCCTTGATTAATGACGATTGATAATAAAAAAAATCATGACTCTAATACAATCCTTGATTAATGACGATTGATAATAAAAAAAAATCATGACTCTAATACATAGTCTTATAAAATTTTAAATGTAAATGACTGTCAGGCCTGGCAGTTAATTTGAGATGACTGATATAATCTTCTGCAACTTGAGCTGGATGAAACCTTGTAACCACTCCCAAAATTTCAGCCGTCATCTTCTAATTCAAAAATAAACTTTGCGAATTTTTATGTAAATATGTACAATACCTTTAACTGAAAGTTAAAGCCAAACAGCCATTACTGTTGCACCTATATATCATTTAAAAAAACAGACACTCTAAAAAATAGTAACTGTAGCTGCAACTTTATGAAAGGGCTATTCATGGATGGGGCCTTGATAGGAATTAATGGCAGAAATCTGAGCGCGTGGCTTTCAATTACTTAACGCAGCCTATAACGAGGTTAGAACGACCTCACAGCCACCATTATTGAATCCTGCAAGAGGTCACCGTTGTCAAACGGGAAAGAGCCCATTAAGGGGCAGACTTGTTCTTTGGGCGCGAATTCTATGGCGCCCGAGATAGCAAATGCTTCGGAAGGAGTAAAAAAAACACTTTGTAAGCATTGGATTATCTGTCCGGTGGGTGATCTTTCAACCCTGAAAGTCAGGAGCGGATATGTCAGCGACCCAGGCTCTGGAGGGTTGTCGTAGGAGACCGATAAATCGAGATAGGGAGACAAGCTTCACTTTCTGGCACTCATGTTTACTTAGTTTTTTGGGGAATGTCGTTTTGATTGCTTAATTTGAGTCTCTAATTTAAACTTTTTTAGTCACTTATGAATGGGCCATTACCACACATATTTCAACCGGCGTGACATTTCAGCAAAGATTAATAAATTAACTGAGTAATTTATAAGTGGCAACCACTGTTCTGGGAGTGAAATGAGAGACCGGGAGTTTAAAAAGAGAGTTATTTATGGCACAGTTCTTACGAACACAGAACATCAAATTGTGAGGACAGGGACATTTTTAAAATGTATCTACGATGTAAATAAACAGTATAAGCTGTCTAAAAATGAAATAAACAGATTTTTTTCTTTCTTTTTCCAGGAGATATCATATCTTGCACCTGCTGAGCATTTGTACATCGCACTGAACCTGAACTATGATATGAATGAGCAACAATGTTAAAAAAAATTGCATCTAAGATATGTTTTAACTGCAAACTGTTAAATTATTAATTACAAATATGAAATAGCAACATCGTTAATTAAAAATATGAAATTCTCTAAGTGAAATTATAGAAAATGCTTTCGATAATTATGCATTAAAAATTTTCCTGTATTTCCATACTATTTAGAACTGCGCATATTCTCTAGAACAGGGATGGCACACGCATGCGACGAAGTTTTAAAGGTGGCACGCGAAGGCTTATTGAAAAATTATAAGATTTGAAAAACTAATATCGTCTGCATATACACACATAAACACATTAGAATAAATATTATAATTCAATTTCTCTTCAAGGGGTTAATTGTTGCCCAACTGAACTTCATATCCAAATTATTGACCTACAGCAGCATAATACACTGAAAAGCAAATATAAGGAACTTACTTCAACTGCAAGTGGTTCAAATTATATTGAATTTTCAAACTTGGACCAAGAAGCAATTTTCCAAATTTACCCGATTTGGCTGTCAGATATTATTGTAAGTTTGGATCAACATATGTTTGTGAACAAATGTTTTCTGTTATAATCAAAATGTCAAGAGTGACTGATATGTACCTAAAACATCTAATTTTTTTAGCATCTTCAAGAACCAATCCTAATATAAATGACTTGGTAAAAAACCACATTAACTAAGTACTGACAGTTAAATGGTTGTTTAGAATTAAATGTTTCAAATTGTTCACTTTTATTTTGTGTATAACCTGACTGAACCTTTAAAAATGTTTATTAAACATAAAACCATAGTTTGTACGTTTGCTTCATTTATTACATTATTTTTAAAGGTCCACTGCTCAACTAAAAAATGTACGATTTGCGTAAAAATCGCATAATCAGCTTATAAATAACATTTTATCACCTTTTTATATTTTTAGTATGTTGGAAAAGTTGGAAGTGGCACGCATAACTTTTTTTTTTTTTTCAGATAGTGGCACTCTTCCCAAAAAGGTCGGCCACCCCTGCTCTAGTATTTCATTTTTATATTTTTTACTTTAAACAAGGGGAAAAAATAGTCAGTATATATTATAAAGAGGTTAGATACTCAATAAGTCAATCATCGGTCTTAAAATAAAAATTACTTATTGTCAATTTGATAAGGAAAAATCGGATAAAATAAAAACTAACTAAAAAAAAAAAAAAAAATCAAATGAAATAAATCTTCTTGATGACTTTTATTCATAAAAATCCTACGAATATGCATATATTTATATTAAAAGCCTCAATGTAGGAATAAGAAATGTAAGCTATTTCTTTAACAGTTATATCATGTGATAATATTCACATTAATATACTAATAGTCACGCTCAATTCTTCGACATCGAAAATGATTCAATTTATTCCTGATTAGGAACTACAATTCCAAGATTTTAATTTTTTAATATTGTTAAGTCCAAATTATTATTTTTTCTTTTACATAAAAATTAAAAAATTATTTGACATGAATGTGAGGTAAACAATAACTTTCTAATTAGGGCCTTGTTTTTTCTAACTACTATGTCACCAACATTGGATTTAACAACTCTAGCCCTATATTTATGTCAGGTCTAGGTACTAAATTATTATGGATCATTTTCAGTATTCAATTCTTACTACAAACCTTCTATTAAAATTTGACTTTGAGCTTCTTCCTTTAATGTGAAAGATTGAATTTGTCCTTTTAGTCGACTTAAACTGAGATATAAAATAGGAAATCACCACCTTCACAAATTCATGGCTATATATAGTATCTTTTATCACATATTTCAACAGCACTCAGAAAATGATTGAAATTGCTAGTAAGGATTTCATTAAGGTCTACAACAACCAAAATCTGAAAGCAATCCTTGAGTTAAAATTAAAGAGTTGTAACCAAAAATTACATAAATTATCTTTCAGATCAATTTACTTTAAATAAAAATTCTACAGCATGAAGAAATTTCAGGGAATAGTGAATCCCTCTTCCCATTCTTAACACGCTAGACGTTATTAATTCCGAAATTTAGTAAAGTTTATGTTGCATGATTTTACTTCATGAATTATATTATTATTAATATTATTGATAAGGTTTTTCAAATGATATTATCAGAACCGGAACAAAGTAAGAAACCTTAGGCACGCGTCTCAGGTGAGCAGTAGGGAATAGTCATCAAACTACACATTATTTATATTCCGTATACTAGTTGCCGTTGATTCTCTAACAATTCGAGTAAGCAAACACGTTAAATTCGCTATGATTTGAAATACATGGAAATGAGTTCTAATATAAGGTAGAAGTATTGAATTATCTTTTTGCCTGAGTGAACAACTATGTGGGCGTGGCTCTGGATATTATACTGAATTAGTTTACAGATAACTTAACAAATTTTATAAAATCTTAGATCATTAAATGCATCAAATTTGAAACTCGATGCTTCGAATTACAATTTAATAATAATGATAAATAACTTAGTCTACTTTTAATAACCACAATATGAAGCACGTTAAGAAACTGTAAATTGTATAAAACTACCCCCAAACAGAAAGCTAAAAATTCATAATGTAGAAAATATAAAGTCGATCTTCATGGTGTCATTTCTGAAAGCGTGAATATTTTCCGATTTAAAATTTAAAAAATGCAGGTGGTACATAAATTCGGAAAATAATTAAAACTTAAAAATTTTAAATGTTAAATTTAAGTAAAATTTAATTCAATAAAAGTCAACATCTTCAATTTTGAACACTTTTTAAGTGTTTTAGAATATTTTCCGTAAAAGAATGGCAAACTTATTCAAAGTTATATAGTTTTTAGTTATTATGTTTATTAATATGTTGTGAAGTAGCTTTGAGAAAGAGATTTCTCTTTTAACGATTCTTAAAAAATATCACAGAATAATTATAAAATTATATAAAAGATACATACACATTTCATGCAGCACACAGCTACAAATTTTATATAGAAGAAAAGCACCAACCAGGAAATGGATAAGAACGGAAAAGGCTCGGAAAGCAAGAATAATTGTTTGAAATTTCTGTTCCATGCCACTGTTCTAACTATGACCGTACCTTATAATTATAATTATAAAGAGAGATGCTTTTGTCAGAATATCAAATGCGCCATTGAAGCGCGAATAATATACAGACTAGCAGCAAACATAGTTCAATGATCCTTAATGGACAAGCCCCATGATACAAGATGTTACCAACTCATAAACACATTTTGCTTTACAGATAATTTCGCTTGATACACGTAGTAAATCGCGCGTGCATCAACAGAGTTGTCCTCTGGATTACATTTATTATCATGCTACTTTCATATACGTATTCGTAGTTAGGTAGTTCCTTTGGGAAAACCGTGTTGGTTATCTGTTTTATTAACATATCATTAGTCAGTAAATTATTGGTATTAGTTAATAAAAACATGAATACATTTTAATTTTTTCCTACAGACCAGTATTTTCTATTTCCCAAAGTAGAATTCACAACTTGCCAGTAGATTAGAAGACAATCTTTGGTGGATAGCAGAATGTTTTGAAGCACTCTTTTTCTTAACTGATATATAATTACTTGTAATTCCACAGTAACTTATAATTAGCCCAAAGGGGCAACTTGAACATAAGGTCTATTAATTTCGTTTTGGCATTTTGCGTTTTTTCTCGCATTGTGAAAAAAACAACGGTACCTAGAGACATCAAATTTTGAATAATTTAGTCCTTCACTCTAATATGGGCATGTAAAACACCAAAATTTGGAATTTGCAATTTGTTTTATTATCTATTTCATATTTTGTAAAACTTTAACGAATTTGTGATTAACAAACTCAACGATTTCAAATCAAACAATGGCGATACTGTACGAAAAAAGTGTGCGAGACTGTGTATCGAAAGTTTTAAAGATATGCTCTTTTTAAATATTTTGTGATATTGTTGAATTGGATTTTATGGTTTAAGTGCAAAGAACATGATCTTTAATAAAATAAAGGTAACACACAAAACGTTAAGAAAACGCCCCTTTGGACGTAATATAAAATCTGAAAGCTTTCAGATTTTTTTAGTACTATTTTCTTATTAACTAATATTATTATGTATGTTTAGCACTGTTATTTCTTCCTCACAAAATGGTTTCGCAATCCACATGCAACTGTATGCATATGGATTGCAAAACTGAAAAAGTTTAATAACACTGTCATAATTTATATTATTCAAAGAAAAAAAATTAATAACTAAGATAGCTTGTAAATTTTCACGTTGAAGTTTATGAATTTGTTTTTTAATTAATAAATAACTTATTAAATATCTGATACTAACAATAAAGTACGCTATATTACAGCATTATTTGCTCTTGAGGCTCTTTTAAAGTATCTAAAGTTACTGTTATAAAAGCAGTTTATGTTACTACAGAGTACTATTAAGAAATGCATTTCCTTGTAGTATAGATAAAAAGGCGAATGAAAAAGTAAATTCTGAATGTATCAGTTTGTGTTTGTTAATAAATGTGTACGAATATGACCAAACATTATTAGCATAATGACGTATTTGTAATTTTCTGTGAAGAATATATTAAATTTTAACAAAATTTTAAATTCCGTTCTTAGAAGAAACAATCAAAAATCAAGAAAAACTGATTTTTCTTATATGATTTTGTTTTCACAATTTTGGTTTAATTGATAATCGTGAGTCGTAATTTTGGAGAAATTTGGGAAGGCATCCTAGACTAGGGGCACATTTTAGGGAATTACATTTATATTTAAGTACATACAAAAAGAACCAATGTCCAATTCGTAAGTTTTTAGCAAAAGCTGTTTTGATTTCGACAAATTTTTGGGTAGAAATGATGAGTTGAATTTTATCTTATGTCTGAAACGGCGTGTAATAACTTTCTATTTTAAGACAAAATCATTAACTTAATTATTAGACTCATAGCACTTATTATTTTAAAGCACACAAGTCATAATTCTTTCCTAAGAATCAGATTGCCTTAGAATGCAACAGTTTAAAGGTTCTCTTTTCTCCTAAGATTATGGTCACGATTTTTGATGAACCTGATAAAATAATCTCATTTCCATCACTTAGGACAATGGCCGTTTTGAAGAAAATAGGAATTTTCATATTCCATCTCTGAAACATTAACTCTAAAACTCAGAAACATTAACTTACCAATGAGAGTTTACACTTTTCAATACTCTAATTTTTGAAACGACTGTACCCACCATATCAATAACCAAGTTTAGATGTTGTTGTTAAGTCTTTAAAATTACTAAAATTAAATACTTTCTTAGATCATTATTATAAAGTGTGGCATTGTTATAATGATCCTCTTACTTTTAGATTAGAGATTCTCAAACTAGATAAATCTAAAACAAACACTGGGGCATCGTATAAACAATTTAAAATGTTAATTAAAAAAATATATATCTCTTATACACTAAACAAGTAATATTATACACCTTTTGGTGTATAATATTACTTGTTTTGCCAATGAAACAATTATCATTATTCTTTTATTCAGTGTTTTTAGAGTATGGTTTATATTTAGAAATTTCTATTGAATTGCTGTTTACTGAATTGTTTTCTTTTCCTGTGCAAGTTTTAGCTCTAGGCTAATGACAACCCTATCGAATGAATTATTGGATAGGTTATATCCTTCGTTTTAATAGTTTTTAAACACATGGCAATTTTTAACAAATAGACTGCCTATATGAAAGAAAGACCGTGAACACAGAGTGACAGAAACATGAAAAATAATATAAGAACAAAAGAGAGTCCCGAGTGACAAATCGTTTTAGAAGACATGTAATT